TTCTAATTGAGCTCTCCACCTCTGTGCCTAAGAAGACTTTATTCAAACCATTCAACTCCTGGTCAGTTAATTTTTCAAAACCAACCTGAGTTAACTTCTCCATATCCTGCTCCAGATCCACCATCGAATACAACCTATTGTAGTACTCTACTACCACATTCTCAAGATCCTGTGCATTTGTAATCCACGCCTCTGCATCATCCTTTAACATTTCAATGCGGTTTCTTCGTCTCCTGATAATGGTGGAAGTGTGGAAGTACTTTGTATTTCTGTCACCCAAAGCCATCTACTTCTCTCTAGATTTCTGAAACCACAAAATTTCCTCCTGTAAAAGCACTTCCTCAAGTTCTTTGACTAACGTCTCTTCTTCCTAAAGGAGTGCATCTGTTGGTGTTGAGTCAACCAAAACCTGAATCATATTCAGTTCCTTAGTTAATTTGTCTTTGCGCTTATTAGGGCTTGATTGGTTCTCCCGCAAACGCACCCGTTTACAACCGCTTAACTAGTCGATCAAAACGCTAAATAACGCTTGAAACCGCAACTGCCCGCTTCCGCAAACTCCCACAACCGCAACCGCAACCACTGCGTTTAAACCAGTCAAGCCTTTAATGTCACTAAAAACCTCACGGTTCCAACTTTTCAATTTCACCTGCAGATTCATTAAAGCATCTGGTGTTGTAACCTCACTGTTCCAAGAGTTTATCAAAAGCTCCTTAAAACTCTCATGATTCAACCACGCAGCTTCGAATCAGAACGGGCGCTTACTCGGATTACCTCTCTATTCTGGGAAGAGTTGCAAGTAGAGAGGGGAGTGATCCGATGCTAGAACTGGTAGGTGAGTGACCACTGCTTCATGCCACTTTAGTCGTGCATGAGGACAACACAAAATTCTGTCTAGTCTCTTTACTATATAAGTACTCTCCATCTTACCTCTCCTCCAAGTGTACTTACTTCCTTTAAAGCCCATATCAATCAGCGAGAGCTCATGTATCCAATTCACAAATGCCAGAGAATCAGGTGATAGGAGCCCATTACCTCCTATCCTCTCGTCTAAGCGAATGATTGTGTTGAAGTCACCACCAACTAGCAGTGGTCCATTAACATTCTCAATCACTGCTTTTAGTCTTGCCTATAGTCTACTTCGCCAACTGACCGTTGGAGCTGCGTACACAACAATAAAATGAACTATCTCTGAGTCCTTTGCAACTGTAGCATATATAAATTAGTCTGAAGAGTCAACAACAGTAACCAGACCCACTTCCGTCCTCCATAATAACCATAAACCACCGCTTTGACCCACCGCATCCACTCTAAACGAGTTCTCAAACCCTAGATTCTGACAAATACGACCCACACGATCCCCACTGGTATGAGTTTCAAACAAGGCAAGCATATCCGTCTTGAATTTCTTCAAAAGGTATCGAGTTGATCTTCTAAAGTTGGGTTTATTCCCCCCCCCCCCCCCGATAATTCCATAGAATGCAATCCATCCTAATCTTGTTAATCAATTTTTGAATCACTGGGGCGCACCATTAAGCCGCCACCCCTTCCGCCTCTTGCGACGGCGGCTCACTGACCATACTAATCTCTCGGGACTGAGAATTTTCGTCCGACCCTAGTAATGGATTTCCCAACTCCTTCTCTCCACTTTGGATCGAACTCGTCTCTCCCAGATGCCCATCTCTTTTGTTTACAAATATTCCTCCTGGTCTCCCTACAGATCCTTCCTCAATTCTCAACCTTTTCCCCGAGCTCGAGCGCTCCGCTTCTCTCCTTGTCTGACCAAAGACTAGTCCCCTCATGGGCTTGTTAGAGAATTGTTGTTTAGGTCTCGGCCTAGTTACTTGTCTCTGTATATTACTTCCAGCCCGTTTATCCAATGGCCCATCTTTATTACCAGACTTCACTCTCTCCACAGGCCCAACGGGCCCAACATGCCCACCAGATACTTGAGCGTTAACTTGATACACACTCTTTCCTTCCCTTCTTTGGACCGATGATATGTTATGTTTTTATTGGTTTTGAGCCTTTGTTTTCTTTGCTAGATCATATATTTTATAGAGTCAAAGTATGTTTTTAGAATCTTTTAGTTCTTTATCGAGTCTTTACAGGTTTTAGGTTGCTTCGGAGGAAAACGAGCTGTTTTGGGATCTAAACACACTTTTGGAGATGCAGTTTCGTTTAGAAATGTCAGACGTTTGGCCTCATCTGGAAGACTTTCCACCGTTAGATCTTTCTGATTTTTTTCCACCGCTAAATGAAGATGTTAGCTTGAGTTTCCAAGTGATTTGAAGGAAATCTAACGGTACATTGAAGAGTTATATTCGAATTAGTGAAGACAGGTCATTCTGGCGAGCATTTGAAACCGTTGCAGAATTAGACACTAGAAGCTCCAGATCGGTCGATCCCTTTGTGGATCGATCGATCCACACCTCTGACGGACAAGAATCAGTTTTGGACATGCTGGATCGATCGATCCTCCCTTGGATCGATCGATCCCTTCCACAGACGTACTTTTGGCCCGGATTTGACCCGATTCACTCAAGATCCAACCCGGCTCGTCTCCTATTGTTTTAAAACCCTATGCCCGATGTTTGAGACATTATCTTTAATATTTTTCAGTTCAAAACTTTGTTCTTTGGTTTGTAAACAACTTTGGGGCAAAGGAATCCATCCTCTTGACACTTGGAGAAGATTTCTAAACCCTTTCTTGTTATTTTTACAATTTCATCATGTTTTCTTCATTGATTTTTGTTATCTCTTTTCCTATGTGTGAGTAGTTATCCTATTGGGTTTTAGGGTTCTAATTAGAAGATTCAATGGATTGATGGCTTGATTGTTTTTTGGAATTCTCATTCTCTAGGTTCTTTGATTCACATGTTCTTAATGCTAGAATAGGATTGATCACCCTGTTGTAGATTCTAGGTTTTTCTATGCATCAAAAGTGTTCGATAGAATGCCCGAAAGAATGTAAATTGAGCAATGTATTTCAAGCCAACGAAAGTTGACGTTATGACGCATTGTGAACTTAATGAACTTGTTTGATAATGCGAATTTGACTAGGAAATTACATGCAAAAGTTTAGTAATCGAGTAGTCAAATTTAGAGATTAATGTCTTGAAAGAGAATTAGTCTAGTTGTGTTCATGTTCAAGAACGGTTCTTAATTGTTGAATTTTTTTGTCTCATGTTTCCATTATTCGTTGATCTGTGAAATACTCTATGGCCCAATGTCTTTATATTCGTTAAATCGTTTAAATTTGTTGCATTTTTATTTTACAATTCGGAAAACCAAACAAACAATCCTTTAGTTTTAGCTAAGAACAAGTCTCGGAAATCCTTAGAGTATTTTTGGTCCTTGTAGATCGACCTCGAATATACTACCTAACGGTTAGATATTTCGCGTAATTACTCGAGCAATTAACCGAGATAATCTCATTTTCTTTATTCTCTCCCGCAAAAATTGCAACTTCCCCTCCAGTCACGGTGTGCGTATCTTCCTCAAGATTCCCAAATCTGTTCGAAGTAATGATATTTTCCTTATTCGCGGTTCCTGAGATTTCGCGGAGATTCCTTCCAAAATTAGCTTTCAATCCTTCTGCCGCGACAACTACTCCACTCGCCGGCTCTGCCGGTCTCCTCCCAGCCCGACGCACCGTCGTGAAACCATCCTCTGCTTGTCTACTCTCTGTTTGTGTTTCGACTGCACTTGGTCCAACTGCCTCCACTGCCTTCTCTACCACCCTATGAGGACAATTATGAACCAAATGGCCATACAAACCACAAGCCAAACAAATGTTGGATAAACCCTCATACGCCACGAAATATCGTTCACCATTAATCAACTCTGTGCCTTTTAGGGGTTTTGACAGGTTCACTTCCACACAAACTCTAACAAACCTTGCCCTTTCGAAGTTAAGTGTTGTTAGATCCACTTTAATTGGCTTTCCTAGACCCCGAGCAATACCCAACAAAATTTCTTTGTGATAGAAGTTCACCAGGATATTGGATAATCTAACCCACACCGGAGTTGTAACTATCTCGTCTCGCAACGGATCAAACTCCGGAGCCCAAGCCTTCACCATAAGGTAGCTTCCGAATGCTCTCCATGGTCCTTCCGTTAAGGCTGCCAAATACTCCTCCTCTAAATCAAAAAGAATCATGAAGAACTGACGAGGAAGATCCATCACATACATCCCTCCTTTCGGTTTCCACAACTCCCTTAGCTTTCGGTTTAACACAGAGATTGCAATGTTCCGCCCTAGAACTTTCACAATCATACACTGTTTCCACATCCCGTTCATCGCATCTAACACCTCTGTTCCGATCATGATCACTGGCTCACCATCCTCTCCATCCGGAAATGTCAAGTGCATCCTCTCCGCAACAAACTTGTCATCTAGTACTCTCTCCGGACTCGGCATCCCGCCTGCGTTCCCTCCCTTTACCTTACGCACCCATGACTCACCTCTGTCTGGTGGATCCCCTGGAGGTTGATCCCTTTCACTAATATCCGTCATGGTATCGTCTTGCCCACAAAGTGCGAAAACCCTAAAGTCGCCGTTCTCCCCCATCTCTCTAGCCCTTTGGTCGCTATTGTGAACAAAGAGTTTAATGTTTTTGTTCTATCATTATATGAATTGGTTTTAAATATATAATTGCCACTCATCTTACATAAATCAGTTCGCCCTAAAAACTTTTCTCCCAGGCACAATAACCAAGGTAGCCGCAAGCCTTGGTCGAGATGAGTTTCCTTCACCTACGATGCTCTTCCGACTGCCTTCCTTTCTGATTGGTGCTTCTTCTAAGGTGAGATCTCTTCGGTGAAGCTCCTTTTCCGGTGACGTAACTATTCCGGCGAGCCTTTCACTTGAGATGACTTCCCTTTTTCTTTCCAATGCGAGCCACTCTCGTTGCTTACCGTTGTCTTCGGTCGCCTTCCTCCTTCTGAGGCCCCCTCGTGCACCACCGCCGGAGCCTCCATCTCCGCCGAATCCACCGGATCCACCAGACTTTCAGATCTGCTTCACTTTTGTTGATTCTTGTACCCAGCCGGCGAGCTCCTCCGTCATTTATGGCTCTCCATCCTCCTTCTCTCAGTCACCGGGTTTGATGAGACCTAATTTAGCTCATTCAGTTTCAATGGGCTTGGATTCTTTTGAGTCTATAATTGTGCTCTCTTGTAGCGCCTTTATCGCTTTGATGCGATCTTTTACCGCAATATGCGGATTTTGTCTCGATTTGTCTAGTCTTGTGTTGACATCTTTACTTTGGCTGAGTGATTGCCAGTTTCGAGTTCAAGCTCCTTCGATTGTCCCCACCGCGATTCTCTCCTCCGTCACCCCTGGAAGTCTTGATGTCGTCTTATGCAACCTCGCTCTCTCCGTGAACTCCTGGGATTGGATGGGCTTGGTTCAGCCTTGCGTGTCCTCAAGTGACATGTATGTTGCCTTCCCGTGTGCCCCGACTGCTGTAGGTAGCTCGTGGGCTGGAATCGTCATGAACTGCGTGTGCCAAAGGATTCAGACCGGCTCTCTCTTCAACGGGCAACCCCAGCCCTCATGGGCTCTCCTCCCTATTTACATGACGTCGAAAGGTATGGTATTTGTGACCCTTTGGTGTAGGGTGCATAGGCCTAATAACAGCCTTTTGTTAGTTCTCTATTACCTCAGTATGAGGATTCATCAGTTTCAAGTACCTTAGTATGAGGATGTTTTCAGATTTGACCAAATCTTTGCTAGAATGGTTGTAATGTCTCTTGAGAGATGGCTTTTTGGTAGACATTTTTTGGAGATTACTGTTTCTGGTTTTGGTTTGGATTTGAATAGTGCAGGCCCTAGAAGAAGCGTTGGCGTTCTTTGTGTTGTTGATGGGTTGTGTGCAGGACTAGGCCTCACGGAAGAGGACGGCTGGGTTATAAAGTCCCAACCAATCCAGCTATCATCACAAAAGGTGGAAGCGTTCTTGAGCTTCTCGGATGCAGCATGGTTACAATCCTCGATCTGCTGTGGGTTGGGCTGGTGTTTCAAGGACCCACTCAACGGAAAGATCCACCATGGATCTTTTTCAAGACCCTTTGTGTCCTCTGTTCTTGTAACGGAGGCACTAGCTCTCAAGGCGGCTATCATGGCAGCTTTAACATTGGGTGTATCAAGGCTGGCTTGTATTTCGGATTGTCAGGAGCTTGTTCTTCTGGCCAATACCGGTGGCCACGCAAACGAAGTAGATGGCATATTAGCGGATTTCTTTCGTTTTATGTTTATGTCTAGTTCTGTTCACTTTGTTCCAAGGGCTGAAAACTGTGGAGCTGATGTTTTAGCAAAAGCTGGCCTATTATCCTGTATTCCCTCCTCCATATCTGGAGTTTGAGTCTTTTTATAATGTTACTAGATGAATACCCACGCTACGCGTGGATTTGTTTTGAAAATTGTGAAGAAAAAATTATTGATTGTTCTTGCTAATTTATGTTTATTTTTTATTTGTTATTATGTAGTTAATAAAACTACTATCTTATGTAGTTACAATTTTTAAGATTAGATCTATTTTCTGATTTGAAATATAACCCAAAAAAAGACTTACTTGTCAGTTGAGACCTCTTGCTTGTTCCCGTAATATCCTTCATCGTCCTCATGGCTCTGCTAGTTGGTCAGAAGGTACTTTATCAGCTTTATCAATATCTATTATAGGTACATAGTTTTTTTATCCTTTTTGAATGGGATTCATTGAACTCTCTCATTTATATTTTCAAGGGATACAAAATTTCTAGCTGCAGAATACAGACCTAAAGCAGGAACAAAGAAGAACGAAAATGCTGAGAAGGCTTGTTTTGAAGTCATATGGAAGCCTTAAGCCGGATAGATTGGTAATCGTAAATGCGTTTCGTTGTTCAGAAGAAGGCTTGTTTTGTTGCTTGAGTATGTCGTACAGGTGATTCTTGTTTTTAGATCTGAATTACTTTTGCTTTGAATATTGATAGGAAAAGTTGAAAGGGAGTATAAAACGATACTCAAAAGGACGTTACAGAGTATTTGTGTTTTGAAAGTTGTTCCAAATAGCACCACCTCAGTGATAATTCAGGTGAGTAGCTATTCAATGTTGTGTATATCGATATTGTCAACTTGAGTTGTATCTGATGTTTTCATTTTGTAATTCCCGTGTAGGTTGTACATGATGGTGGTTCTGTATCGTTTTTATGTTCCTTGCACCTTGGTAAATATTTATTGATGCTGTCTGAAACACATATAATCCGGTATAAACAATGTCTGTTTGAGTATTTATAGAGTTTATAGTAGTGAAAGTTTGTAATCCCGTAAGCTGAGAGTGTGAATATGTTTTTGTGTAACTTCTATCGTGGCCTCCATTCTGACAGTTAGAAGGTAGAAAACGTTTGTTCTAAAGAAATATGATGTACAGAAAGGGAGACTATGAAGAATGGAATTTACGAAGTCGAGAAATTTGCCTTGAGATTCTTCTTCTTTCATATTGAACGATCGAGCAGAGAGTGAGAGAGATTTATTTTGTTAAAATCTTGTGGGGAATTAGAATATTTGTTGGGTTTAAAAGCATTAAGCCATCACTGAAATGGGCTCGACCCATTAATATTCCACTCTAATAGATTCTAAAACACATATGGCCCATCCGTCATGGGCTATTTGTTTACTCCATTTGACACTTATAATTAGAAGCTGATGTGTATTAATGAAATGTTTTTATTGGACGAATAAAAAGCTGATGTGTCATCTTCAGAAGAGCCAAAAATGCTGACGTGGCGGAAGGATGGAGAGAGATAGCCTCCTTTCATATATATGATTTGGTTTAAAAAAAAAAAAAATTTAATATATAATTGCCGATTGCCTTGCCCATTGTACCAATTTTTTTAATATCCTTGCTCAACCGTTTAGTCTTCTACATGTTTGTTGAATTGCTTTGATCATGGTTTGTTTATCTCAAACTCGTCATTCTAGTTCGTTTTAGGAAAAAAATTAAAAAACAATAATCATCATTCGTAGTTCATATGATTGTTCCTTGTACATAAATACTTTTTTGCTACATATTTGCCTTGCATTTTAGGTAGAATTAGGGAATAAGAACTTCTCTTTTCAACTGGACAATCTTGTCTCTGCATTTTCCAACTTTCAAACAATCTTTAGTGGGTGTCCATTTGATTTTTTAGCACACTTGATCAGAGATGCAACATTGACTCCAAAACAATATATATGACATCCTAAAGATACATAAACATCATAAGTGGGCCTTGCATAAAGTTGGGATAGCATTATTTTTATGAAGGCCTCGTAAAGGGCTACGTTCTAAAGGGTTCGTACCTATACCTAATATGGTATAGTGGAGCGATGGTGTTTCTCACCTTCTTAGGCCATTTTCGATGTATGTTTTTTTTTTGTTGTTGTAAGGAATTATATAATAAAAAATAAATTTATTACCAAAGTATTAAGTAATTATTATGGAATAATGAAACATAAAATATATATAGTTTATATATTTATAAGTATATAATTTATCTTTTATAAATAGTAGTCTCAAATAGATATATATACCATATCCTCTAAAATCAACTCAAATATTAATTTTATTTATTGTAATCATAAATAAAAAATAAAAAGTTAAATGATTACTTTGCAAATAAAAAAAAGTCTTAACACTATTATGGAAGAAAAATGAGAGACTTATGAAAATAGGCATTATTTGCTTAAGAACTTCAGATTTAGCCACTTTGCCAAGTTGGCGTTTAATATATGACTCTGTTCATGACCATTTCACCCCTCTTCATATGGGTGCAAATATCAGATGACGTGGGTAGTATGATTTTTTTTTTGTTTGTTTGATAAATTCTAGTTTCCAATACAGAAACCCGTCAACATGCAAGGATTCTCCACAAATCATCATGGACAAAAGTCAGAGTTAAGTTTTGTTCACAAAAATTGTTAATGACTTATCTTTTAAAAGTTAAGTACACAATTATGTTACAGACGGTGGAAAATCATATCTTATATTTTATAAAAACTCGTTTTAGTATTTGGGAGAAGAACATATAAAATGCTTCTGGTCTTTGTTCTAAGAGGATGTACGGACCTAGATCGAAAACCTCTTAGTAATTCAAAAAAAAAAAAAAAAAACTTCGGTTTAGACAACAACATATGTTTTAATGATATTAATTAGATTTTCTCTACAAAAAAACATACTTTAAATGCATAGTAGAAAAAACGCTAAATCCTTATTAACGGCTAGTAAAACGTAAATCCAAACCGTTAAACGACAAAGTGTAAAAGTGAAATTTTGTTAAAACACTATACCCTATATTTGGACGACTAAACCCAAACCATTTCAACGACAGTATGCTATGCATATAGCGAGCAAGAAAACGAAAATATATAAAAAGTGAAAATCCTATACCCTAGGATTAGAATTGGAAATCAATAAAAAAGAAGAAGATAAACTCTTAATAGTAACTCGAAAATACAAACACGATGTTCTAACAATAATATAAAAGAACAAAAAATTTAAACCCTAGTTGAAGACTAGAGAATCCACACTTTCTTTTACAGTATATCATCTATACATAATATCTAAACCCTAAGTTGTAAAAAGGGAACCCAAACACAATTCATTAACTACTTTATGAGATTGCAATATTCTAAATGAGAAAAAAACAAATCCTCTCAACGATAATGCATTAATCACCTTACGAGATGGCTAATATCAAAAATGGGAAAAATTACTAAACCGTAGTCAAAAATTGGTGAACCCAAACCAATTTATTTACGGCACACAATTAATAAAAAAACAAAAAACGAGAAAATTTAACACAATAATGTAACTACAGTAACTCTTTTACCAAATGATAATATTATAAATAAATAAAAAACGCTAAATCATAGCCGAGAGATGGGTTTACCCAATTCGATTAAGGAATTATGCAAAAGAAAAAAAACTTATTACAAATTTCAAATAGTTTTATAATTTTTTTAACGATATAAAAAAAATTACTTACACATAAAAAAGACATTTATAGTATGTCCATCATTGACATATTTGTTTTATTCACGATCTCTGTATTTTTCCATAGTAAAAGATGAATATTTTGTCAATATATTATTTCAAATCTGTTTTTTTTTTTCACCATAAATAAAAGCTATATTTGCTCAAAACGTTAAAAACCCTTGCGATGACATCATCAAAGATAGGACATAAGCGTCTTTTTGACAGGAGAGAGAACTGTTTGAGTGCCTATTTCAGAACAGCATATCGTCGAGTGCCTATTTCCGAAGGGCATCTGGGTTCTGATACTTTTTTTGTAAATAACTCAAGAAAAATAGAGTTCTTTTATAAATTAAATAAAAAAATAGCAATCTATATTTTAGAGATCAAAATAAAAGTGAGTTTGAGTAGATTTTAATTTAACAAAGTTAAAAACAAAAATAGAGGTTGTTTGGAGATGCTATTACAAAGTCATCCAGTACTTCTTTCTTTTTAAAATGTATTAATTTGTTCAAGTTTCCTTTTGTTCCTTATTATATTTCAGTTGGTTTCTAGTTATTTTTACCTTCGCTTTTATATACTTATTAATTCTATAGAGAAATCATAGTCACTTCGTACAATAGTTTTTAGCATAATTTTTAAAAACATATTTAGACAAATATTTTAAATTATGGATAAGAAAGTTCAAAGGTTTTTTAGATCTGCAGTGTAGAAAAACCTCCAAATATCTGTCAAACTATAATAATATCCGAACTACACTAATGGAGCTTATTGTTATACATCCATACTATTAACATATAATGTATAATGTTATATTTCTTCTGCATGGAATAACAGAAATAAAGAGACCATCTAAGTGCTATGAACCATTTTCTAGTCCAAATCAGTAGCAGTAACATAATTAACAAATTAACTTAGCAAACACGACATCAAAAACATGAAATGTGGATATCAAACATGCACGTCATTTCCTTATACCCTTCACGTGTATATATATACATATTCGCTCACATACTCACATTATTCAAAGATCCTCCAAAGACTTGTGAAGCCACGATATATACCCTGACTAGATTCTTCTAATATTTATCTTTGGGACATGGAGAGTTCCTCAAATGGGTTGAGAAAAGGTACATGGACTGCTGAAGAAGATATTCTCTTGAGGAAATGTATTGATAAGTATGGAGAAGGCAAATGGCACCAGGTTCCTTTAAGAGCTGGTATATGTTATATATATATTATTTATCTATATAGTTTATTAGCTACTTATATTCTTATTTCTCTTCGATTAACTTACAGATTGAAAATAATAAATTAATTAATTAACAAGTGACTCAATGATTGATTGATTTCTTTTTTCTTGTGTGTTGTTATCATAAATGGTGAACTTATATAAGAAAGTGTATCTAACACTAAAGATATATAGTCGGTAAACCCTCTCGTTTATTTGTTTTTCTTTTAGTAACTGAGCTACAAAGAGAAAATCAGTGTACATACTCTATATGTTTCTGTTCATAGATTTGTCTTGATAAGAGTAAAGGGTTATGTAGGGTTAAACCGATGCGGGAAGGGTTGTCGACTAAGATGGTTGAACTACTTGCAGCCAAGTATCAAAAGAGGAAACTTTAGCTCAGACGAAGTTGATCTTCTCCTTCGCCTTCATAAGCTTCTAGGAAACAGGTTTATATTCCTTAGACACAAATCTATATTATTTACATAATGTAACGGTCCAATACAAATTGTTCGAATGCATGCTTTAGGTGGTCACTGATTGCCGGTAGATTGCCTGGTAGGACAGCTAATGATGTCAAGAATTACTGGAACACCCATTTCTCGTGTTGTAAGAGCAAAGCGAGAAAGAGAGAAAGTACTTGTTCAGCTAACTCGCCAATCCAAAGTAGTTGTTATAAAGCCTCTACCTCAATCCTATAACAACTTCAGCTGGCTCAACTGGCGGCCAGAAGTTGGCTTTGGCAAAGTAAACAACAAAGATGATAGTATCACATGTAACAAAGATAAGGAGAAATATGATTTTGTGAACAATCTTAAGGTTTGTAAGATTTGCAGTAAAGAAAAACTCTCCAAAAGTTTGTAAAATGAAAGAAAAAGAAAGAGAAAACTTATTTTTCTATTCTGTTTTATTTATTGTGCATGAAAGTGCTTTCTCTTTTGTAATCATGTAAACCATCAGCCATCAATCATTAATCTTCCTTTCTCCTAATTTTGTTAAGAAACAGTTTTTTTTTCATGTACTGAAAAAGGATGAAGAAACTCCCTTAGTCACTAGATGCCATGAGCCTTTTATCTAGTCTTAGTCAGTAACCAAAAAGTTACTTAGAAAATAATACAAGACATGTAAAATATGAAAGGTGGATATCAAACATGCACGTCACTTCCCTATATCTTCAAACATGAAATATGGATACCATCAAAGCTCTTCTCACTTGTATATATAATTTTGCCCGGACACTCACATTCACTACAACTCCTGCATGGATTTGTGAAGCCACAATAAAAACCCTCTTCCTTGACCCTTTTTCCTATATATTGTTTTAAATAATTTGGATAGATACTTTCAATATCTATATTTGTTCCATGGAGGCTACTTCCAATGGGTTGACGAAAGGTGCATGGACTGCTGAAGAAGATAGTCTCTTGAGGAAATGTATTGATAAGTATGGAGAAGGCAAATGGCACCAAGTTCCTTTAAGAGCTGGTATGTTAGATACACACACATATATATAATCACTACGAATATTCTTCTGTCTCTCGGCAAATTAAATAATATCATTTTTTTCCTTTTTGTTTTACGGAACAACTCCTTTTTTCATGCTTTTAAAGGTTGTTCATGACAATTATTTATTCTGTTCATATTTATGTTGGACCTGAACGAAGATTATAATTTAAAATTAAAGAAAACAAGTTATACATATTGCATTTAAGTAAATAAACTCCGTGGAAATTTCTGTACGAAAACAAGTTTACGTGTGGGAAAAATATATTATATATATTTTGGTGCGCATAGATTCTTCATGATAATTAATGTCAATTATTGGTTTTGTAGGGCTAAATCGATGCAGGAAGAGTTGTAGACTAAGATGGTTAAACTATTTGAAGCCAAGTATCAATAGAGGAAAATTTAGCACTGATGAAGTTGATCTTCTTCTTCGCCTCCATAAGCTTCTAGGAAATAGGTAGACACTGTTTACTTGATTCTTTTTATTTCAGTACCCATAAGTACTAATAGTAATAATTTATCTTATACATGTATATTGTTTCATAATGCTTAGATGGTCCTTGATTGCTGGTCGATTGCCTGATCGTACCGCAAATGATGTTAAGAATTACTGGAACACCCATTTGAGTAGGAGGCATGAACTTTTTTGTAGTTCCAAAATGAAAACGAAAAACATTACTTCCCCTCCTACAACACCTGTCCAAAAAATCGAAGTTTTAAAGCCTCGACCTCGATCCTTCTCCGTTAAAAACGCATGTAGCCATCTCAATGGCTTTCCAAAAGTTGATGTTATTCCTCCATGCTCTGGACTCAATAACAATTATGTTTGTGAAAGTAGTATCATATGTGGCGAAGATGAGAAGAATTATGAGTCTGTGTATAAAAATCTAATGGATAAAGACAATATGTGGTTGAAGAGTTTACTAGAGAGCCACGAGGTAGATGCACTGGGTCCAGAAGCAACGACAACAGAAAACGGGGCCACTTTGGAATTTGATGTTGAACAACTTTGGAACTTGTTTGATGGAGAGACTGTTGAACTTGATTAGTGTTTCTGACTGTTTGTTTGTTTTTTTCTGCGTTTGTGTTTTGCAAAATAAAAAGTTGTGTTTCGGAATATTAGAAATTTTTTCCGAAATTTTTCATGTGGTACATATTCTATAAATTTATATAAAGGTGGCAGCTTTTGTTACACTATAACTCAACATGACTTAAACATAATAAATAAATAAATAAATAAATATCACAAGTAAAAGAAAGTTTAACCCCAAAACTTTTTTAATTTTTTTATTTAAATATGATAATAATAATAATAATAAAATTATTATTATTATTATTAGGATTCAAATCCCCCGCCATGTTGTGGGGAAATGTTTTTCAAAAATTTCTAAAGAAAGAAATATCAAACGAAAAAGTATAATGAATTGAAATAACTTTGCAAAATAATTTTTTAATAATAATCAAAATATTTTTTACGAAAAAATTATGATAAATAGACATAATCCTCAGAATTATTTATTAAGATTTATGTTATTATTAGAAAAAATCTGGATAAAAAGATGCGATCATAAATAAAAAATATTAAACAAAAAGTTATAAAGAGTAGAAGCAATTTTTCAATTTCTTAAACAATTATAAATCGGGTCTCCTATCAAGTTTTTCAAACTTGTGTCCCTATGTTTAATTATTGTCTGTTCTTGTACTTTAATTTTCAAGCTCGCTATTTGGTCATGTACAAATACGCTCACTTGTCTTGTATCCTTCTAATTTAATCAAGAATTTGGTGGAAAAAAAAACATGTTTGAACACAACATTGTAAGCCCCGGTGACTAAATATTCGGTGCTATAACATTTATTGAAAAAAATATAGCATAATGTAAAAAAAAATTAAATATGTATATGATAAAAGAAAAAATGGTTGAAACAATTACATGCCAAGAATTCTGATATAAAATTTTAACTTTTAGATTCTTTGGGAAAATTATCAATAATAATTCTAGTTTCATATAATTTTAATTTTATAGATTTATGAAATATCAATAATAATAGTAATACCGAATATGTCAGTTCCTCCATTAGAATCTAGTTGAAGTCAACAACAATAGCAGCTAACTAGTCAGGTAACATATTCAAGCTTGTCCAAGATGAGTAGCATGCAGCATGAAGAAAGATAAGAATTTATTCAATTTTTACAGAAATAGATTCTATAAAAATAATCGACAAATAACCCTAATATAAGAATCTATTTAGTTTTTCTAGAAATAGATTCTATAGAAATAAAACCCTAGTTTTGTAGAAATAGGTTATGGCGTGCCGGTTAAGAGTTACGTTATAAGATATTATATTTCATACGTACATATGCTTCCAGTATTTTGAGAATTTCCTCAAAATAGTGCACTTTCAAGTCTTGTTACCGAAAATACCAGTATTAATCTAATGTTCCAAAAATATTACTAAAAGTTTTAGTTTTGCAAGCATACCACAAACACAAAAATTGATTTTCAAGAGTTTAGAATTTAAATTTTTAGGTTTGGATTGACTATTTTATATTTAGGGTATAGGATTTACAGTTTAGTGTTAGAGGTTGAAAGTTAAATTTTAGTTTTATGTTATTTTTGAAAAACCAAAACTTAAGTGTGCTTCTTTTGTTTCTTTTAACCTAATGATTCAACATAACGGTATGTTAGAGTTCCCATGCTATGGTGAACAACTATCATGGAGAGGTAATAGAAACCAACAAATTGTGAGATGTAGACTTGATCGGGCTTTGGGAAATGAGGATTGGCATAACTTTTTCCCATATTCAAAAGTGGATTATCTGGACATGATTGGTTCTGATCATAGACCAATTCTATTGAGTTGTGAAAAATCTTTGGCAAGAAAAAAAAGACAATTTAGATTTGATAAGAGATGGATTGGGAAGGATGGCCTTTCAGAGGCCATAGATTCAGGTTTGAATCGAACAAGAAATTTTAGAATTCCTGTTTTTGTGGATAAAATTAAAAATTGTCGAAACTCCATTTCATGGTGGAGGAAAAATAATTTCCCGACAGGCCAGGCAAATATTTCTTCCCTTAAGTTGGCTTTGGAAGAAGCGAAGAATGACGATTCTATTCCGCAAGAGGAGATAAAAAGAATCGAAAATAAATTAAAAGAAGCCTACCATGAGGAGGAAATTTATTGGAAACAAAAAAGTAGGAATTTTTGGTTAAAAGTAGGAGATAAAAATACCAAATTCTTTCATGCCTCCACAAAAAAAAAGAAGGGCAAGGAATAAGATATCAGGTTTATATGGTCCTAATGATGTTTGGGAGGAATCAGAATCAGGAATGGTGGAGATAGCAACTAATTATTTTAAAGATCTCTTTACGGTTTCCAATATAGATGGAATCGCTGAGATGGTACAAGAAGTGTCTCCGATTATTACGGAAAATATGAATAGGGAGCTAACCAAAGAGGTTACAGAAGCTGAAGTTAGGAAAGCTTTATTTTCTATGCACCCAGAAAAAACACCAGGCCCAGATGGTATGACGGCTTTGTTTTATCAAAGGTATTGGCAATCCTTAAAGGCAGATTTGGTTGGTTTGGTTAGAGATTTTCTCAGAACAGGTAGTTTTGATAAGAGAATTAATGAAACAAATATTTGTTTGATTCCAAAAACCGAAAGGCCTCAAAGGATGGCAGAGTTTAGGCCAATACGTCTTTGCAATGTGAGTTATAAGATAATTTCGAAAATTCTATGTTTGCGGCTGAAAAAGATTTTACCACGGCTAGTTTCTGAAACACAATCGGCTTTCGTTTCAGGTAGACTTATTACAGATAATATTTTGCTTGCTCAGGAAATGTTTCATGGATTACGGACAAATAGAATGTGTAAAACGGATTTCCTGGCAATTAAAACAGATATGAGCAAAGCGTATGACAGGATCGAATGGGAGTTTCTAGAAGCGGTTATGACTCGTTTAGGATTCAATTCAAATTGGATCTCTTGGATTATGTGGAGTGTTAGTTCAGTTTCGTGTCAGGTTTTATTAAATGGGGAACCTAGAGGACATATAATTCCCAACAGAGGTTTACGACAAGGCGATCCCCTATCCCCTTATTTGTTTATTTTATGTACAGAGGTCCTGATTGCTAATATTAAAAAAGCGGAACGAGAGAAGAGGCTGACCGGAATTAAAATAGCAAAAAGGAGTCCTCCTATTTCACATTTGCTTTTTGCGGATGATAGTCTATTTTTCTGTAAAGCAGATATGGAGCAATGTAAAACAGTGATGGATATTATTGGAAATTATGGTAAAGCTTCGGGGAAAGAGATAAATTTTAATAAATCTTCGATCGTGTTTGGTCATCGTGTACCAAACCAAAAAAAAGAGGAATTGAAAAATTTCCTTGGAATTACAAAGGAAGGTGGAATGGGTACCTATTTGGGTATACCTGAGAGCCTTGGCGGCTCAAAAAGTAAAATTTTCAACTACGTCCGGGAAAGACTTAATGAACGGATTAATGGCTGGTCAGCTAAATATCTGTCAAAAGGTGGGAAAGAGACGATGATTAAGTCAGTTGCGTTGGCTCTGCCAACCTATGTGATGTCTTGTTTTAAACTTCCTCAAGGGTTAATATCTAAGTTAACAAGTGCAATCTCAAATTATTGGTGGAGTTCCAATGGGAGAGACCGTGGGATCCATTGGATTGCTTGGGAAAAATTGTGTATGGATAAAGATAAAGGTGGTTTGGCAAAACAGTACTGGCGATTAATATAATTTCCAAACTCCTTAGTAGCTCGAGTACTAAAAGGTAGATATTTCAGGAATATTCATCCTTTACAAGCAAAAAAACCAAACTCTCCATCGTTTGGATGGAAGAGTATATTTTCGACCAAAAGCTTGGTTGAAGTGGGAGCAAGATGGTCCCTAGGTTCAGGTTACAACTTATCGGTCTGGAGAGATCCCTAGGTTCAGGTTACAACTTATCGGTCTGGAGAGATCATTGGCTTCCGGATGTTATTCCACGTCCCGCAAATGGAAGAGGAAAATTGTTACATCCAAATCTAATGGTAAACCATTTAATTAATCCGGTTACTAAAGAATGACACCTTCCTATTCTACATGAATTTATGGATCCGGTGGATATTCAATTAATTCGAGGACTTACTATTAGTCAAGTTCAGAAGCCAGATAGGCTTATTTGGCATCATACAAACTCAGGGAGATATACAGTAAAGTCAGGCTATCGGCTTGCCCGAGGGATGACTGAATCGATTGAATGGGGTCCAAATTGTAAAATTTTACAAGCACAAGCTTGGAAAGTCAAAGCCCCTCCAAAAATAAAACACTTTTTATGGCAAATCGCTTCGGGATCCTTAGCAGTAACTTCAAAATTAGCTCATCGAGGGATTCAGTGTGATATTACCTGTAAAAGATGTGAGATGGCAGAGGAAACAATTAATCATGCTTTATTTGAGTGCCCACATTCTCAAAAAGTCTGGGAATTATCCGAAATACCTATGGTATCAGGTAGTTTTCCTCTAAGGTCGGAATTCTCTAATCTAGGCTATCTTTATTGGAGGATACCACATCATGTAGATGGGGCGGAGAAATCTTACTGTAATGCTTGGATTTTGTGGTTTATATGGAAAGATAGAAATAAGAAGGTTTTCAAAGGAATACAATCTGAACCCACAGATATTTTAAATCACGCTTTGAGTGAAAAATTAATGTGGGAAGAAGCTCAATTGGATCCAATGGAAGATAACACTATGACGGAAATTATGGAAAGCCCAATCCAATCTATAAAATGTCGGATTGATGGCTCTTGAAAATCTTCGGACCCAACTATGGGTATAGGATGGTGGTGTTTTCAAGGAACTGATCAAACTTTGCTGTTTGGTGCAAAATGCCTTCGGAGATGTCCCTCCCCCCTTCACTCGGAGTTGGAAGCTTTAATTTGGGCTATGAAGAATATCCTTTCAAGAAGAATATCCTTTCAAGAAGAATTGATTGTCAAGCTTTTGAAACAGATTGTTCTGAGTTAGTCTTGATGGTTCAGTCTCCTGAAGAATGGCCCGCATTCTCCAATCTGCTAGACGAGTTGGAGTTTCTCCGTGTCTCTTTTCCCTTTTTCTCGCTTTCTCTTATTTCTCGT